AGGTCTAAGGTAGGAAAGATTAGAGAAATAGCCCAGATTGCGATAGGCTGTGGATTCTGATCCCATCTCAGGAACCTGCGACTGGTAAGTGTATTAAATATTTTTCTTTAAGATATAATGTTATTTTAAGATTCTTTTTTTTAATGCCCAAGAGTTATTTAGATTGCACAACCTCTTTGGGTCACCAATTTGATATATGTGTACCAAATTTTGACTAAGTGTAGTTACAGAGATATGACAGACAACCAATAAAGATTGCTTTCTTCCTATGGGGCTGCAGCAATCAAAATGCCTAAAATAAAAACCATAAACTACAATCTATTGTTCTTTTTCATTATTTTAATATGAAAAATTTAGGGTTCGCTAATAAATATCATGATATATATAGATTGATATACATCAATTGATATTTATAATTTTTATTGTTAGTTTGAGTATTGAGTATTCAGTCCAGCTAGAAAATTAACCTACCTAATGTGATGCTTGCAACATTGGCTCGAAGTGGTAGCCTTACTTACTAGAAATATCAGGTTTTGCCCTATAAGCTTTTGGAGATTGTCGCTTGCTTTTTCATTATTTCATAAACAAAGCCACTGCCACTTTTCATATACATTATATATTGATATTATAATTATATATATAAATGTCAAATATTTCAATATTTATTATAAATATTGGATTTTTGCAAACCCTGGAAAAACTAGAACAAAATTTAGAAACTTGCAACTAAATATTTCATACAAGGCCAGGGTTTGATCTGGCTTGTGTTGTTAGTTTATTGTATTATTTTTTTCTCATATTTAATATACATATATCTAAATGAATTGATCAATTTTGTATACATAACACCTAAATGAATGTGGGAACATCATTTTAAAATATAGTATTATAGATTTCAACTATCTTCTAGGTTTTATTATTTCTAGGATCAATTGAATTAAAGATAACATAAAGATAGAAAAGTTTTCTTACTACTAAAATAATGAATTGACATTTAATTCCAGAACAATTGATGCAATATGGTCATGCTATTTTTAAAGGCACAGATAAGATACTTTATTTATAGACATTTTTACTAGTAGTATGCATTGATGAGAATGAGCCAACATGAGTACTTATAATAGTTTGATCAAACCGATTGGGTAGGTATATTATTATTATCCATTACGGTAGGGTCCAATTGAACCTAGTTAGTAGTATACTTACTGAACGCATAAGGATTCTGGTGAGCAGTCGGCAATGAGCCAGCATGGCTCACACGACGTTGAAATCGCAAACAAATCACTTGGTATACCACAAAATCACAGAACCACAATTTTTTCTTCTTTGTGGCACGTACTCTCCGCAAACACATATAATAGACACTATTAAAGGCTCATGAAACACTTTGAGATCACAACACTGAAGTTTATTAACGTTACAGGAATATATTTTTAATAACAAAACGTACACAAATAACACCTTTGTAGAACTACTTGCGAAACCTATCTGTCAATATACTTTTATGTTGAATTATTTCAATAAACAGATATTGGTACATAAGTTATAGGCTAAAATATTATAAAACAATTGAAAACTATACGTTAATCAAATGCAAATCTAACTAGGCAAAATTCACATCTTTACCGTGAAATTTTTAAGAAGATTCTTCGAGTATCCACGATCGAAAACGATTTGACAGCACAAAGTCGCAAATCTATTGAAAACTGACTAATGAGGTGTTGTCAGTTTCAGACACTGTAAATGAACAGCACTTGTTATGATACCATATTACAGTATAAAAATTCTACCACATTATTGTTACTGTCAACAATATTAATATATCTGGATTAAGTCTGTTAAAGGCCCCTAGACAATGCAATTATCAGGACCACTTTTAATAACTCTGACTGACCGATACGAATTAAATTTGTTGAAACCCGTTGGAATTGAATTTATTGCAAATCGGAATTAAATAAAAAATAGATGATAAAAATATATAATGAAAAATAAAAAGAAAGCACCAAATAAGCACCTCCTCTAGATGACGATTCTAGTAAAAGTTGATTTTGCAGGAAACGAATGGTCATGTCCGTTCCTTTTAACTTACATATTAAAAAACTGAAATTTGCAAAGTTCGAAATTTAGATATCAGTACAAATACGAAAAAGTTCTAATAGAATATTAGTTGTTTATTGAGTTTTGAAAACTAATTTACTTTTATACATGAAAGAAAACTGGAAGGGTTGTCATGGAGAAATTAAGAAAGTACCGTAGCGACATCTAGTTTGATTTCGGGAACTAATATTTTTTTAAATACTTCCTCATTCCATATCGTTATATTTTTTCACACAACATTCTAACTCTCACAATTTTTGTAACTTGGTCTTGGTCTTGGAATTTTTGTATCTACACTACTTTTTCATTTTAAATATGCCCCAGTACAGTAAACATCAAATCAGTTTATACAAAGCTGTCAAATTTCTTCACTTGATTTTTATCGTTATTATACGGTATGTGTAGGTACCGTGTCTCGCGAGACGTGCACCACACACCCAACTTTGAATTGTAGATTGAGTTCAAAATAAATTTGAATTTATTTTGGACCTATGTATTAAATTCATAATGCTCTGTTTCAAATAAGTGACAACATAGATTAAAATAACGTTTTAAAGGAAAAATTATTCGAGTGGAATAGACAAAATGTTAAAATACTGTGTAGTTATGATCCTTAAATAATTTTCTATTTGCTGCTGACTTTAAGAAATAAATGTTCTCAGAATGTCAAAAATACACAATGTCATAGTTAAAAAATTTAGGTCTTAAATCTATAAAGTTTGAAAATATGTTTGTGACATGTTATCGCTCTGATTCTCAGGTCTAGCAACGCTCCACTCAATTAGGGGCTACTGCTAAATGGTAAGGTATTAAGGAACGGCAAGAATTGTTTTCGAAAATCAAGAGGGAGGCCCTGTCAGTTGATAAGTACGATCTATACTCCATTTATTATATCATTAGAAAGAAGAGGATCTCAGAAGCAGCAGTGCAGAACATTTTATTTACAAAATAAATATTTATAATAGTTTTGTTGAAATTTTGAACTCGGGGTTGAGATGAGACTAGCATTTTCTAAATTCATCTTTTATTGAGAGACAACATGGAAATAAAACTATCTATCTGTTGTTTGGATTGATTCTAAATGTAAATGTATATAATGAGAATATAATTTAGTTATATCTATGCCCAGAAAATAAAGGTAAACAACATTAATTTTTTATTAATAGTGTTATAACTTTTATTCAGATATTATTAGACTATTGATTAAGCAGTGGAAAAAATTGCTGAAATGTCAAAGTTAATTGTTGTAGGCCACTCGGGCCTGCACCGGAATCAAAATTTAGCAAAACTTAACAACAAAAGGATAACAACTAAAACAAAACTACAAGAAAACAATAATAACACAGTAATTACTGAATCACTGTAAATGGCAAAACAACAAGAAAGGCAGTAGCATTCACAATGGATGACAATCCCAGATTTCGATATTAACAATTATGAATAAATAATAGTCTGACAAAATTAAAAAGCTGTACTACCGAAACGTTCCCTTCAAACGTTAGGCAACGTTTTAAATTTGGTATAGTGACATGAGAATCGTACCGAAACTATCTAACCCTGCTTCTTTAGGTTCTTTAAGATGAACACTTTTGATTGTAATAATTATTAAATGTTTTAAGTCAGTCAAATACTCATAAATTTGTTAAATATATAGCTTAAAAGACAACGGCCAAGCATAGCAGCTGGTATTTAAGTGGATATGTAACAAATTAGCCGTTAGTCTTAAGAGTAACATGATTGTTGACATTTTGTCACAAAGTATACCATAAAAAGAACCTTATTTTCATTCTGTCTAATGCTATAATGAATGGAGTATAGTTTAAAAAGGAAGTGTTTAAAAAGAAACTATTAAAGTAAATTTCATTAAATAGTGGTACTATTTCGACAAATTTTGGTCAATACTTGACACGAAACGAGGATATACTATGATCAAAATAATAATCCACAAAGACTTGTAATGACTGTAATTTTGGTGTAAATTACACGTGATATATTATATAAAAAACTAAAAGTTACGGTTAATTTTTTTTATGAAAATATACGATTATTTGTTGATTAATAATTATTGGAAAACTGTTTTATAACAGAACAATCTAAGTCTAAAGCGCATTCTACTTTTTTTAAGACGTCTAAATTATTTTAGTGTACAAGTGGTCACTTAAAAATCAATGCAGTGCATAAAGTCGTATAAATCTACTACTTTAGCTGTTTCCTAAATGGCCTTTGGTTCTTCAGTTTCTGAAAATAGTGTATAGATGACTCTTTATTCAGTTTATTGAATAGTAGGACCAAACAATTTTTTAAAGATTTTTCTTGATTTAATTTATTATATACGTTGAATTTGTCTATATGACATATGCACTTTATTTCTATATTGTTCTATAATTTAACATGACGACCAAAATTTTTTGACAACTTTATTAACGTATGGCTTCATTCAACAGAATTTTTTAAAATCAATTTTTGGTAATATTCCTTTTCATGACTGTATTTTTCTTGAACTTTCAAAAAATCTTTAAGCCAGCGTAATAGGATCAACTTGTAAAAATGTCACAGAACAGAAGAGGTCCGTTTTCTATGATTCAAACCTTAATTTTGCCTAAAACTGAAAATGCCACCTGGCGATTTTTTAATACATCAATTTTAACGCCTTGTTTGATGAGCTTTGATTTTTTTCAGCAAGTGTAAATTAACATTATATTTTTTCATATATTAGGAGACTGCTTTGATAATGATTAACCGTCATTTTGGGGCGATACATATCGTATTTATTTTATTAGGGTTTTAGAGACGTTATTGATGTTCAATTTATAATAATGTTTCCACATCCTGTCACTTATCATATTGCGCTCATTAAATCCATTCGATATTCCATCGTGACAGTGAGTGAGCCGCATTTAATCGATAGTACGTCTCACTATAACCAAACGTGTAAAATTAATCCAACAACTGTAATAAAATCATGTAAAGTAGGTTGTAGTTAAGCTTATTTTTTTTTATTTTTACATAGGACTTAGGTATAATAATTTAGCCTCAAAAAAAAAAACACCAGACTGTTTTCAGATTTTATATTAGTTTTCCAGGAATTAAACTATTCTGCAAGTTCTGTACAGTAAACAGCTAAAGTTATATCAAAATAAAATGTAGTAGAGAAATACAGACTTCTCCACAAATGTGCTATTGACTGTACTCACAAAGCTAAATTCAATAATTTAAAATACAGAATTTCCAAGTAAAAATGCTAAACACTTAATAATTTTACTGAATCATAATAGAATGACTCCATTTCGGCCGCATGTATTTGTCTATCTACCTTCAATATTAGACTATATTGTCATACAATATGCAATTCTTAATTTCAACAGTGTTTAGAACTGATCTTCATGTAGAAGGTACCACTTTTCTCCATAATTTACAATATTAACTACAAATAAACTTAAATTATTGAGATATTACCGTTTAAAACTCAACTGTACACAAGATAAATAAATAACTAAACAGATAACTCTATCACATCAGTGTCACTCATTCACTGCCACAATGTATGATATTGTAGTCGACGAACACTCAATATATTTTATGGTAATCAGTCTTACAATTTATTCAGGAGCAAAATACTTCCAGGTAAACTGAAAGGCCCAAGACGAGATCTGATATCAACAGCTCTTACAGCGAAATAATATTTAAAACCTGCCATCACATGCGTCAATGTGCATGCCATTGGTAAGGGTAAAGCTTTTACGTCGCCAATTTTTTTCCACAAAGCTGTACTTGGAGGTGAAGATGTTTCTTGGTAAGCGTATAGTTGATAACTTGCTATTTCTTCGTAACTATCATCTAGGTAACCATCAATTTTCCATGATATTACAATGCCGTTCTCTACTTTGGACAGTTTAAGATCTGGCGCTGGAGGTAGTGCCTTCCAATTAGGCGGTTGGTATTGCTTCACAGCATCAGGTAAAGGCGCAGGATGTCTATTCTGGCCTCTAGACTGCATGCGCACTGTATTCTGAGGCATTCTGGCCAAATGAGGCGGTGCCACCCTCGGTCTTGGCGTTGATCCTGGAAATTAGCCAAAATTGAAATAAACAAGAGTTATTAATGTGACCTCCACATGTAAATAAAAGAGTAAAATGGTAAATTTAACTAGTGATTCAAGAAAATTACCTGCTTGTGGCACAGTTTTCAGCATTATCGCTTGACCAGGTCTGATATTTTGACTTTGTGGGCCACTGATGGGTATGTATACCTTTCTAGGACTATTCAGTGTTTGTCCGAAAGCCTGTCTGGGTGCTAAAAGGTTCTGGGGAGATACTAATCTGATCGGCGGGGCAGGAGAATTACGAGGGGTCATTTTGGCTGGTGGTTCGTCATCCGTTAAGTCTACTGTGACAGACGATAAACGACTGATTGGTCTTTTTTCTGCAACTTTTTGAACAGGTGAGGAATTTCTCATACCATTTGGAACAGGACTAGGTGTTTTTGCTTGGCTGTTATTGGGAGGACCCTGTGCCGTAGCAGGAGGGATTTTCGCAATAGGATTATTTGCTAGTACTAGCCTAGGAACAGGTATTGCTGGGCTAACACCTGACGGTTTTTGAGTTTTAGGGCTTTGATTGGCAGTTCGAACATTTCTATTGCTCGTATTATTGTTGACATTAGGCGTATTTGCTACTTTTTTCCTTGTTCCAGGTTTTTCAATCATAAGAACTTGCATACCGACAGACCTGGTAATTTTCAATGGTGTTATCACTGTAGGGTTATCAGCGTTTTTCTTTTGTTCTTCTTGTACAGATTTTAAAACTACTTGAAGGTCCCTATTTTGCTTTGTTAACATCATGGTTTTCTTTTTATACTCTTCGATATTTTGGGCCATTTCTTTCAATTTTGATTTTATGTCACTCAAGTTGCTTCTGTCTACAATACTCTCCACAATTTTAAAAACACAAAATTCTTCTAGGTCTTCTCTAGTCATGTCAGTCAAGTTCTTTTTGTAAGCTTTCAAGAAATTCACAGGCAACAGTGGTTTTTCTTTTACCGGTTTCTCAAAAGTTTCTTCTTTTGGTTTCTCTCCCTCTTCAGTTGTTACATTGGTATTTTGCGTTTTCTTTTCAGATGTTAGAGTGTCTGGAAATAAGTAACAAATTATGGGAGTTAAATTATTAATTGTAAGTAATTTATGAGTTAATAAAATAATAATAATAAAAATAATAAAGGAGATTACAACATTTGTACAGGAACAAGCTGTCAGTAGAAAAAGAACTTAAGAATATTTATAACTTCTTGAAATTACGAAAAAAACAATTTCATGTCATAAATGCTATGGGCTCTTTTAAATACAATTAAAACTTACCGTTATCAGTTTCAGTTGTTTCATCATCAGCTGGTGTGCAACTTTTAATAATTTCTGTGGCATTTTTCAAATCAATCGTACTTTCGTCACATATTTCTTTTTCTTTTTCTTCTGATTTGTTTTCCGTTGTTGCTGACTTTGATATACTTTTATTATCTTTAACGTCTTCATCTATTAACATTATATCGTCGTCATCTTCTATATTGATACATTGTTTTTCCATTGAGTTTGAATATTTCTGTCCACTTTCCTTCGCATCTATTTTAGGAGCATCGTCTTCATCATCAGATAGTATATCTAACGTGTTTGATAATTTTGAAAAGGGCTTATTTTGAACTTCTACTTTTGACTTCGGTGCCAGGTTTTCTTTTGGTTTTTTGGGTTCTGTACCGACAAAAACGTTTTTTTTCGAATCTACATCCAATATTTCTTCTTTATCCATTAACGTTATATTTTCTTCTGATTCTATGTTTAATGAAGGGGCTTTTTCGATAACAATGTCTTTGTCTACGTCAGCCGATGACATTTCCTCATTTAATTCTTCATTAGTTGTTGTTTTACCCAAGACTGTCACTTCATCAGCTGATTTGGAATTTTGTAAGTTCAGCTTTTCATCAACTGATAGTGTATTGTCTTTAACTTGTTTATTAGACGATGATACATGTGACGGTTCTCCTTGATCAAATTCCAAATTATTATCTGTCGCTATGTCTGAGGCTGTTTTGTCAAGTGACATGGTTGAAGCTGGTTCCTCGTCTGGCATTGTAATTTCTAAAACTTCGGATTGATTTACTGGCGTCTTAGGCAGAACTTCTACTTTATCAACTGCCATTGAATCGTCTACCTCAATAGCTTTGTCAACTGATGTCACATTTTCTAAAAGTACTTCTTTTTCTATTGAAGTTATGTTATCCGAATCTATTGTGTTGTCTACTAATGTTGTATTTTCTGAGTTCATAACTGTAGAATTATTGTGAAGCAGCGACGTCTGTTTTAAAGTGTTATCTTTGTCGGTGGAACTAATACTCTCACATAAGACTTCTTGAGTCGCTGATGGCTCACTCTGATTAGGAATTGCATTCACAGCATTGCATTCGATTCGGACGTCAACGACATTTTCAAAAGCGTTTATATGTTCATCAACATCCATGTTGGTCTCAAAGGAACTATTTTTACTACCAGTCACATCGTCATGAATATAATCTGAATCTTCAGTCAGTGCTGTAGTAGTTAAGGACTCTGCAGAATCAGCAGTACTTTTTAAATTAATTTGCTCATTATTTTCAATTTCATTCGACACATCCATAGGATTATCATTATTTTTTTCTAATACATCAACATTAACTGTATCTGTTTCACTCGTATTTGTTTCTTTTCTTTTTTCTTCTCCTTTAGCTATAGATAACGATATGTCTTGTAGATTATTACTTTTTATAACCAAAACGGAACTCTTTTCTTTTAAATCGGAATCAAAAGATTCTCTTTCCTTTTCAATTGTATCATTACAACTGTCGGATTCACTGGCGTCTCGTTCGTCTATTTCTTTACTTGCTACATTTCCATTATCATTTACTTTTGTGTAGTTTTCATCTTTATCATTTAGTAGTTGTAGATCATCATTTTTTTTAATTTCATATTCCTTATTTTCTATTATTGGCAGTGATACATCTTCTTCATCATTATCGTCTCTTTTTTGAAAACCATTTCTTTCTTCTTCTGAAATTTTCATTATATTTTCTTGGCACTGCATATTCTCTTTGTTACCGTTACTAATAACATTTTTTAATGTTTCATCAGTATTATTATCATTCTTTTTCATTGTTTCTTCTACAGTAGTCATTTTTTCTTGTATATGTATGGAAGCTTCAGTATCTAATATTAATTGCATTGTTTATCTTATGCTATTTCATTGCCAAGGAGATGGAGTTAACCCTGAAAAAGAAAGAAAAAGAATAATTAATATAGTTCCGGTTTTCTATTAATGAATTTCTATAAAAGCTGTATCGCTTTCGCAAAACAATGAACTCTTAAATTGTTCGACATATAGGATTGATCTACGAACACTGATATTGGGCTAATGATGTTGTACCACCAATTTAATCTAAAAAAAGTTCCACTTAATTTGTTTTTACGTTATTCCATCGTTACATGTAATCAAAGAAATTACTAAACTATAATATGATAAGTGTACTTCTGTTATCTTTATTGCGTACAGAATTTAAAACGCAATATGACAGTATTAAAACCAAATTTAATGTAGTTTGTGCAACAGAATCGGTACCGCTATCTATCTTAGTTGATAATTTTGGAAGCAGAAGATAAAATTTCCATAAAGCAGATAGATGATATGTGTTTATTTCATTAGCTATTAGGCTAAATATAATCTAAGGCTAAATGTACTAGATGTTCATGACCTTGGTATGGGAACGCCCAATTCTAAAACTTGCTCGTAAACGTCGTAAAGTCGCATTTAGCGTTACATTGTATCTTCGATTCGACTTCATTATATATGGTACTGTTTTGAATCAAAAGAGGTAACCACGAAAAGCGACAAAATTGATTTTAGTCCAGTAAATGTAGTAGAAATATAACGGTCGTCCCTTCTGTCGAGATGACGTCGCGAAAGTGAATGCTCAGTTTGAATACTTAAGATTTTTTATATTTATTAATGATTGGCGTATTAGCGTTTGCCTTCTGGATTTCGCTAGGATCCTATAGAACTACATCAGCACAAGAGTACAAAAAAAATACTGATAAGAAATTAAATTGTACAACATAAGCAAAATACCATTATGTATTTACAGAGCATTATGACAGGTGCGATGTCACTTGTGTCAGAAACATCATCATCAAACTGAGAACGCCTTTGCCAAATCATGGCACTTCGGACAGTATTCTATTTTTCAACCCGTATTTATTGAATATAAGTAAAACTTAACATTTTATTGGAATATGCCTTAAGTATTCATGTAATTAGTTTTATAGAGAGAGAAAAAAATTATGCTAGTAGATCTCTAATTAGGAAAATAATTTTGTGAAACGAGTTATTTCTATGACTGTACCTCCGACGAATGACTGTATATGCAAAATCTTTGCATCAACCAGACTAGTCGTCATAAATAAATTAATAACAGTCTGAGATTTATTTAATATAAGTAATTCAACAGTTATGCATGTATAATAAAAATATTACGCAAGTCCTAATAACGCTATATATATTGAACTTTTTTTATATTTTGGTCCATCATCAAATAATTTATCACAAAACATATTTTAGATAATCAATCAAAATCAAATATGACATTAACAGATCTCCCGTTTGAATAATCTAAATTTCCATATCCTACAAACTTGCGAGATTTGAAAGTAGTTTACTAATAAATTCATACTAAAAAACCTTTAGGTTCTGTTTGCTTCTAAATAAAAAGGATTATGAAGTTTTAAAGAACCTTTTTAATATTTATATATTAGTTTTTTCAAATGCCAGACAACCAAAGTGCAATTGTGAAATATTTACAGATTTGGGAAGTATCATCTCCGTTAACATTATGTTTGTGTCTTAATTGGGAATTTGGGTTAGAGTGTTAAATATATTACTTGCGATGAGTCCGTTTTTTTCATCCTTCACAAATTCTAAATTATTCTTTCTCGATCGCTTAACTAGACTATACTGCAATGCACTGGATGTATGCACGGTTGAAAGAGATAAGAAAGAGCGTATTCCATGTTACCAACCATTTGTATGGTAAGAATGTAAGTAAGGTAACATGGAATATGCTATTTATAACACATAAAATTAGGTATATTAGTTAGTAATAATTCAAATACAGTTATATGATGCAGATCTTATTAGTTTTTGAATATGATATCGGTGGGTGTATGTAAGTCGAATATGTATACTTATAACTCAGTATTGAAAAATAAAATGGCGCCTGAATCGAATAGCCTTACAATAAACTATATATGTATTTTTACATTTAGTTTATTAAATCCTTCAAATACAATATCATTTATTCAGTCTAAGTTGTTACAAGCACTTGTGAATGTCGAAAGCTATGCCATTGGTTTGCAAATATATGGCGGGAGACCTTGTTCTGAGGATTGGCAAGAAACTAAGATGAATATACCGATAATTCGAGTAATTTTAGAATACGAATATCTGTATGTGCTTGGAGCAGAAACAGTTTGTAATGTCAGTGGTGTTTGAAGAGGATATAGCTAACAAACACATAAGGCATATAACGACGAGTTCAATTCATCGTTATTTGCCTTAGGTGATGGTGAAAGAAGATTCATGCCAAAGAATTAGCGGCATGGTTTGACGTGAGTTACCCACAATACTGATTATTATTATCCTACCTATTTGCAAAAACTTGAAACATACTATTAAAATACTTGAAAAATTGTTAACATGAATTTTGTGATCTTTTCAGAACAGCGCTCCTCAAAGCATACGTTAAATCGCGTTAAGGGAAAAATCTAATGGATAAGAGAAAAATCTTATTAAAAAATAGATGATAACCTCAGGTTAAGAGAAATTTTCTTATGGAAAGGTGATAGTCACTATTTGGTTTTCGGTTAATGGAAAAAATTACAGCAGTTTCCTCACATTGCACAAGACAGTTTTTTGACAGTAACGACAGTGTGTGTGTGGGAATGTTCTTCGTATACCCGGTAAACCCTTTCCTTGGGGCTGGGCCATGGAGTCTGGACGAATGGTTTGAATATTCGAGCATCCATCTAACATTACAGCATGCGTAGCATATGGCGGGGACTCTTATCGGATGTAGATAATATCTCGCATCTTCACGAGAAAAGTGACATTTGGATGACGTCAAAACGTTGCTCGTGTTTGTCATGCTACACGTACACAATCTGAGAATTTAACGTGAGTTCTTATGCCATTTACAATCACCTTCGATCGTGAACACGTTTAGTTTTTAGTACGAAAACCGGCAAGCCGCACCGTAGCGGTAACTATCAAGAACTACAAATGTCCACACAAATTCTTATCCACTCACTAAAACTCAACACTCTGCAGTTTGATAGCATCTGTCATCATCCGTCCGTACTGACCTGACTTTACCCCAATACTACCGTTAAATTTGGACTCGGACAATTAATAGCATAATCGGCAAAATTAGTGTCAAATGATTTTAAGCATCTAAATATAGTTGTAACGAAGGTAGGGTTTTTGATTTTTTTTAAATCATTTATTTCAAACTTGTTTATAAATGAAATTTAACTATTTTTTGTGAGTGAAGAAGCTACCAGAATTGTTACATAACATTTATAATACTTTGAAAATATTTTTTTATATTAACGCACAAGGCACTTAAAATTTTATAGTAATATGCAATGTATTTAAATTAACATTTATTTTATTTACAAACTCTTGACTAAATATATTTTTCAGTGGGTAAGTTGATGAACGTGAGAATTTATTTTCTTAATTTAATCGAATTTTATATATGCACACGTTAATTAAATATTTCATTTTTTAAACCTGATAATTTTCATTAATAAGATCGATTTTAAAATTATAATCTAAAATGTAAAATCTACCTAAAATATAATATAGTCCAAGCATTCTTCCAAATGGCCGTACCTCAGGTGGATAGGTATTTGAAATCTATTAGGAAACGTAAATAACGTTTAAAATAATAGTGAATTTTTGAAATTTTCCCTATATTTTTTAAACGGAAAATATAAATTAGTAAATATAAAAAAGCTGAAATTACCTACCTAATATCAATGAGTTTATTATTAATCATTACCAAATATATTATTGCACTTCTGTACTTGTTAGTACATCATTTAGAGATGTCATAATTATTCCTTTTTGTAAAAAGGTTTAAAAACCCTTCGAAAGAAAGTAGATCTGATTATAATTAGAGCAAATAATATAAAAAGTTGCAGCATAAACTCGCAATCATGAATTTAATGATACTGTTCAGTGTGCACCGAAACGCTAACACAAAATGGCGGACTGACAGTCTGATAATGCCGGAATAAATTCCCCACTCGTTTGGTTATAACATAACACAGCTGAGAGCCAAGTCAAAGCCACGAGTAGACGAAAGGTGCTTATCGTTCCAGCGCTTCCCCATACGATGCTTACGCGCCGTGAGAGTAAAAGGGACGAATAGAGTTTACGCATTCCAGCATGAATTGAACGAGGTGAAGGTGGAATAAGGGGCTATCGAACGGAAACCAGAAAACTGTCTATTTGGCAACTGGGACGATACTGATTTTTTTCTTTTGAAATGTACAGCGTAATTGCTTGGCATGACAATGTTATTAATAGAATGTTATGATGATATCATAAGTATATGAGGCAATAAGTATACTGATTTCTAAATCTTCAGCTTATCCAAAGATGTAGATGACAGAAATGGTTATCTTAAAAAAAATATCTATATATCATATACAATGCTGTCAAAAATGTATCTTGTTATGAAAAACTAATTGTAATATATAAAAAAAGATAATTCATTAAAAAATATGTATTAAAAAATCTCAATATGCATAATCGTTTCCATCAGAAAATTTAATCATTAATAAAAAAATAATTGAAATACAAATAAATGCAAAATTTTAAAAATTATTATCTAAATAATTTTTCGAATTATCTCGTAAAGTTCAATATATCTGTTAGAAAAAGTAGACAAAATGCCTACCGTTAATCTCAGTATTATAAAAAAAAAAACCGAATTGAAAAAAAAACTACAAATATGATAACGACTAACAAGAAAAAAAAAATTTTGTGAGTAATAACAATTCTTTAAAAATGCCGATATCAAAAACAAACATTCGAATAGTAATGTTGTTTTGTGATCGAATGTACAAAAGTACCTACCTAAAATGAGTGCATAAGAGATCCCAGAAGTAGGTAGAAGAGTTATCGCAGTACATTAAATCGACACAAAACGGGTGTTCACCAACGCGTCTATTGCGGCACTGAATGTCGGCCAAACAAGCAGAATGAGAGAGAAGAAAATGGCCGCCGTAAATATGGCGACACACATAGTCACGGCAGCTCGAACCGAGCGTATACAGAGCAAGTAACACGCAGAGATCGCATTAATATCGAGGAGGAAACAATACGGGGCAGAGCAAGCGAATGAGCAATATGTAACCGAAGCACGCGAGAGTGAATAAACCAAGTTTGTTCTATAAACATACCAAATGAAGTCTCTGTGTTGCGCAGTGATCTGTGCAAGTAGATCTACGTAAATACATTGCAGACAGGTCACATTACGAATATAGCATGGTCTTTTCGTTCTCTTGCGTTCTACTCTTATTTCGAAGTAATTCATGTTTGTATTCTGTATTGTATTATGGATAATGTTGAACATTGATATTCTAATACGTTTTTATTGACAACTTTAAAGGTAAATTTATTAATTGTAAATGATTAGATTCATTGTACCTATTAGGCTTATTGTCTACATTTAAAAGGGGATTTTGATAAGTAAAGAAATATCCAAAACTTGAACAATTTCATATTTTTTGTAGATTTTCTTTTTGGTAATGTTCATCACATCGCAAAAATTGGTTCAGAAGTACACGCCTACCATGACAAGTAAAATTAGGTTAGTATCAAATGCCGATTGAGACATGATCAGCAAAAATACTAGAAAAATGTTACCTAAATAATAGCTCAACAAAATGGCTGGCGTATTGAGATTGAGAGCGAGCGACGTTGCCGCTTTTATGTTACGCTGTTCGAGACGTGGGTCGTTTCGTGGCCGGTGCCGAGATCAGCCGAGCGACGCCGAAGGGTCCCGAACGAGCCTACGTCAGTGAACGTCACCATAAAAATAACTAGGTAGAACACTCAATTCAGCCTCTTCTTTTACTATCCTTCTAACTAAACAACACTATATAGCAGAACTTGCATTGACCATAGTTGTAGATTTAAAAATTCTATGGAACTAAGACTTAGTTATTTTAGCCTTATTATTATACCTAGTATTTATTGATTTCCAACATACTTAATCTTAAAAATTGGTTCGGTGATTGAAATTTCATTGACAGACCAACACTTAAACTAAGGCAATCAATAATCACCTATAGACCTTACCTGATTTTTATTATGTTCGCCAATAATTTTACCGTTATTTCATCAAGAGTTCGTTCACGTAAGTACTTTGGAATTTTCCATTCCGCAAAGTACCTATGACATGAAGCTGGAGGTATGATAACGATATAAAATATATAGAAAAACAGTCATTGATAAATTTTAAGATAGTCAATTCGAATGTATATAAAACTGTATTTATGAAATATGAAAGGAAATGATGCTAAAATAATAAAAAATGCAAATTACATTAATCATAAGAGATTTATTACGCGATATATATTTTAATGTAATTGACTTGGTTGCTAGGAGAAGAAATGAATTGTTGGTTAGGTTAGCAGAATATATGCAGCAGTCATGAATTGAAAAAAAAACATCATTGTATCGATGTTAGACCAAACATGGTTGATTATCTTGTCACTATTCGAAATCGAGACCCCGCAAAGCAATCTCAAACGTTACGATAGAATACAGCGCTCGCTAGGTGCGTAAAATATTCGCTTTTTACAACGTTTAAACCAAACTGAGCGCGCAGTGGATGCGCAATAAGCGTTTCAGTCGCACTAAAAGCAAATGAGAGATGTGACTACACAATGAAAGAAGGAATTCTATGGCTAAAATTAAATAAAAAATAATAACTATATCAGGCCAATATGAGAAAAGGATAACAATGAGGAAGACAAAATCTATTTTCTCTGCAATTTTTAAAAATCACGAACAAAAAGCATTCTTTTGAGAATATGCTACTTAGTTGATAAAGGATGTTTCTACTAGTTTCGTTTCTTCAGTATGTCACCAACCGTATAATGTCCAGCCGGTATGGACATTTTGGATGCGGGCCACTCAGTTCCAGCAAAGCCAAAATTGAGAACAAATTTATCTTCTAACTTTAGAAAGTCTTCCAAGATCGAAAAATTACCCGAAGTGATAAACAAAATTATAATGCACGAGAGACCGCATTAGCAAGAAAATTAACATTAGCAAGATTTCATACTAAAAATAATGCATTAGAATTATTTTCGCAGTTATAAATGCTTCCATAACAAATTTTGAGATTTATTTTGAGACATAGGGTAACCATGGACGTACAAAAAATTACGTCTATGTAGGTAACTAAATAATGAGATAACAAAAAGCCTCGAAAGACATTGGTTTTCAAGTAAAATCAAAACTTCTTTGAAGTTTTATTTAATGAATCATTATGGAAAGTCATAGTGACGTACCCAACAAAAGACAGGTTGCGTATTTCATTAAAAATTCCTGCAGAAATCATTATTTCCGTCATAGAATAGAACGTATTCTGTCGGTAGCGCTAGAGTGAAATTTCTCATATTCATGAACTCTGCTTTGTTGGCGACTTGGCAAGGCGAGTTACCTGTCGGACTGGCAACAGCGCATTTGCCAATGCTAGTATCTATAGTTGCGCGCTACGCAACGTTGCCATCTTGCCTTTGTTTGGCAAGCGTAGAAATAATGATACATAACCCGGTATCATTAATTAATGATGAATAAATGTTTTATGTATCATTCGGTAAGTTAGGTACGTTAGTTAAGTAGACACTGGATTCAATGGACAAAGATCTCAGATTTGAGATCCTCATACCATTTATCCTAAATGTCTCGATTTTTCTTACAAATGAAATTTATTTTTAGGAAGGCACCTACTAAGAACGGACTGTTCAGCTAGAAACCCAGCTGAAATCGATCGTCTTCAAAAAGACCAATATGTATTTTTTCACAAGGTAGATAGAATACATTGAAAAGGTTTAAAAAATATCGCGTAGTGATTTTGAGGTTATAAAATATAAAAAAATGTCGTTTGTCAATATGATCTGTAAACAAAAATTCAATTAGTGAAACTTACCAATCTCCACGGCTACCAGTTGATCAACTAGCGTTCAGTGATTTTGCTTACGAAGCGTGCGCCAAACAGTGCGAAGTTCGAATGCTGAATCACAACAAATAACGTAGGTATTACCGACCACGGTGCTGCACGCAAGTCGGCCGCCAATGGGTGGATTGTTCCGCCATTTTGTCGAGTAGTTTGACGCGAGTTAGAGCGAGATAGTCTTATATACTTATATTGAAAAATCGACCGATCTTTTCGTCAAAGCATCTAATAAATGTCACGCATAATAATTCTTCATCTATTCTTTACATGTTTACATCAACATGCAACTTAATTTGCAAACAGGTAGAACGCTGCAATAATAATCTTAGACAGCCTCTGATTTTCTCATTCCATTACCTCATTAGCTGAGAAGTTAAGTGGGAGGCGGAAGATAACATAACGACTGGTGACAATGAGTGACAGTTTTGTCAATTGTTTTCGATGTTTTTATATATTTTCATTAATCTTAAATTTCTGTAGGCCAGTACCTATCCAAGTAGGTATTGTTTTCTGATTTTTCATTGAATTATAGCATCACTGTCACTGTTGCTTCCATTTAGGAACAACTTAAGAGTTCTTGACGATCTCTTTGATCATATTATTATTAATCGTAGGTATTTTAACAGGAGTAATTTTAAAATAAAACTAAGACTTTCTTATGTTCAAAAACATTATGTAGGTACCTATAATAATAGCCCCATTGGTGGTAAATTCTTGTGATATATGTAGCACACATGAGTAGGTAAGGTCTAAATTTTGATTATATGTATAATCAAAGATTTGTTGATTTATGTTAGGTTGCCTCGAGTTAAACCAACGATTCTACAGCTTATCAAAATATGTATTTTTCTTGTTTTAATTCATGGACTAACAATTAGGCCATGCTACGACTGTATGTAGTCATCCTATAAGAATATTGATTTATTTGCAATTCGTATTGAAAAAGTTTTACCTTAGCAAATCACCACAAAACCATGACCTAAAAAGTGCGACATCTTCCGGCGGTTGATATAGTTATTAGATATTTTTTTCTACATAAAACCTTTTATTAAAATAAATATTACATTGAATTTTTCATTACATGAAATTTTTAATAATCATAGCATTATTGAAATGTTATTTAAAGTCTTATTTATATGTCAAATGACATCAGAAGAACAAGATCAAAATTCATAAATGAAATAGGTTTTTATGTTATAATGGAAGAATGTCAAATTTGACGTTCGTGCTATTATGTTGTATAATGTAGTTACATAAATTATTACTAGATGTCTCTAGTATCCTAAGTGCTGCCATTATAATAATTTTATTCTTATGTCGTGCAATATTGCAATTTGAGAGGATAATTTTGAACCCGTGGAAAATACATATCATTCAATTTTGTTTCTGGTATTTGATATTACCTCACCATATAAATACGAATGGTTTTCTGAGAGCGTAGACCCTGGCCAGGATATTAGAACGACAAGAATAGCTGTTGTTTAAGGCAGATATGACAGACAGATTGATTTTGTGATTTTATTTCCCTACTTTGCCTGTATCCGTTCAGAGTATTTAAACTGAAATAGCATCATAGCGGCAACACTCTCTAATATAGATACATATTACCGTACAATTAAATGGCGCCATACAATTAACGGACTGTACATCCAATGGAATTGGAGCTGGATAAAACCTTATCAGCTAGTTATACACGGGGCACATTAAATATATAAAAAAATATCTATAAAATATATATAGTGGTAAAATATCTACAAATCTAAAATAAAATTTCGATTAATAAAATAAAGCAATTAAAAATTACACGCTGGCAATACTGTATAAGTCAGCCAAAGAAAGAAAGGAAGTAGCAAAATAACGTTTTTTTATTTTTGTTGTTGTGTTTTGTTTACATTTTATTAATAAGATAGTAAACACCGTTTCTATAAATATTTGCCATTAATTGAATTGAAAAATAAATTTACTAAATAATCTTATAAAAGATCATGTCATTACGATATGCATTTGAGAAAAAGGTTTTTACATTATTTACTTTCTGATTTATTTTAGCTTTTGTTCTTGGTATAATAGTTTAATCTATTAATTATTTCCAGAACTCTTTGTGTTTTATTTGTCGCTATGTTTTAACTCAAAAATGTAGTTATAGTGACAAAATAGAGCAGAATTACTCTGAAGAACAAAAGCACAAAATATTGCAGGTTATGAACGAATCGGACTCACGATCATTGTCAAGGTTTTGATATTATCTGTTATTAAATAATTATTAATTACATTTAGAGAACCTGTGGGACGTCTGATATAAAATGTTGAATGTTATTTAGAAGTATATGTAGAAATTGTTCATAAGCCCATATCCTTCTTCAACCGTTTTATGTATAGTTTGTTTTTAGGTACGACATAACTAAAGCTAGAATAAAATATATTAATCAGTGGAAAAATAGTAATGGGAACCTAAAATGTTTGTCAGATATAGATATGGTAGAAGGTTTTTCTGATAAGTATGCAATAAAATTATTTGACAGTATATTGAATGGACCGTTGGAGGTGGAAAACAATGGCATTAAAGCAAGTAAGAAAATAAAAGGCACAATCTTACAGCCACTTTTATCAGAGACCATAAGGCAGGTAATGTAGATAATTTGTTCCCTTTAGAATAAAGTATCAGTCTATGAATATCCCCACACCTGGGGTTCAGAGATTTCCTATGGATGGAATGGAATAGAGAGAGCGGGCTATGACTCACTATGCAGCCCCAGTGCATATTGGAGGTTCATTACAGTTGCAGAAGCAGTAGTTACTTAACAACCAAATTGCAGACCGTGTGTGCTAACCATCCTCAATGTTCTTGCTTATGTTTATACATAGGCTAATGTGATTTACATAATTTATCTGAAAATAGAATGGAGGCTTAACACTATTGAAGAATGTTAAAACTTATAAAATGTGTATTTAATTCGGGATCCTGCCCATTTACCAAAAATTATTTGTACGTTTTTTACTTGCCAACCAATGTTTTACCTATGTGTTACTTTGACAACTAACTATTAGCAAATTTTTGTATAACAACATTTCATTCTGTATAATTATCATTAAGCTGATGGTTAATATGACAAAAAACATTTGGGATATTTATAAATAAGATATATATAAAATAGGTGAAATAAGATTCTACAAAACGTAATATGGTAAGTGATAAACAGCCAAACAATTTTTGGCAAACAGGCAGAGAACCCTTTAATTCAATGCCTTTGTTTAACATGGTTACTCTATTTCAGAATTGCGATACTGTAGTAGCAGTTTATATATCAGTGAACTCAGTTTGTTGGACACTTATAAATCGAAAAAACTATGAAGTTTTAGAGTGGAAATATCATGGAATCGATTACCCAGACAGCAAGAAATTCCATATTGTCGATATTTTGAATATTGTAAGAATTGCATAATATTAGTTTTAGTTTCATACACCTTGTGCAATTATTTCTTATCAATTTATTTTTGAGAAGAATTCAAAGATTTTGAATCTACATGTAGTAGGTATGTATGTATGGGGACTGTAATTTTCCGCACTTTGATGCCTTTTTCGGTCCTTTGTTGTAACCATGTTGTAAATGGTTAAACCATAAAAGATAGAACCATAAAATATTCTAATTAATTGTAGATCTTATAAATATCTACAAAAAAGTCTGCAACACTATACCTATCTATGTATCAATTGAATAGGCACCGACTGTGAGTCGTTCTGTTCTGCATTAGAATTTATTATTTGTTTTATGTGTGTATCGATTATAAAACTATTTCAATTGTGTAGTTATTTAGTATTACTTAACAGAATTCTAAACTACTGGGCTTGTTTTTTTCTTTTTAGTTTTTATTTAAGTTAATTTCTTCATGTATTTTTTAAAATTTGTTTTAACGCTGTCGGGTTTTTTGATATTCTTTAAATTATTTATTTTTATTTTAAACTTTTTAGTTACGATTCGTTGACCTTGTTATAAGATGGTAAATTTCGCAATCTAGTCATTTCATTGAGGGAGTTAATATCGTAGGGATTATTAAGTAACTTGCGGTGGTCTAAACTACTGATGATTAGTTCCTCTAGAGACCTAACTCGGCTCAAAGCTACATATGCTTGACCTTTATTTTTGTTTGTATAGCGTTTATACTTTAAAAAAAAACTTAAATCAATAAGTAAGAAAATTTGCGAATATGATTGTTTTGTTAAACAACTTTAAATCGTAATATATCCTAAACTATTATTTAAAATAAAAAGAGATAAAAGGAACTTAAAAATGATTTTAAAATACCTATTCAACGTCACCCCACTTGACATAGTTCGTCGATATTTTTTTCATTTTGACAATATGGCATCTGGTTGTCGCTGTGGTGAATTTTGATTACTGTCATGTCTTTAGTGACACTCGCAAGGTTAAGACGAATCGATGAAACAAACAAACATACATACATAGACTGATAAACACATTACCCTCATTTGCGTCGCGCAGTCGGGTAAAAATAGGTTCGTAAATAACCCATCATTTTACTGTTTTAAGTATAAGTAAAAAAATGGTTATTGTGGGTTATCCTTGGAATATACATATACCACCGCGGACTTTTTTGTAGATCTATTAAAGAGGTACAATTCCACTATATAATGATTTGATATAACTGAAAAGTTTTTGGCAGCGTTTTCGAGGAAAAGGGTTTAGCCGGATACGTATGACGAGTCGGCCCCCAAATGGGAATCGATATTGAAACTTATGTTTTAATATCGACTTGATGTTCAAACACGATTTATGTACTTTTCGCGACCGACTTCCGCTTTGACCTTGAGATAGAGAGCAAAATATCCGTATGCTTGACTATTACTGAATATGATATATCTCTAAAGCTAATTAAGATAAAGAAGTGAAACTAACGCGAGGTGTTAGGTTACATTACAGAGTATATCACATATATTTTTTTATAATTTTTAGAATAAAAAGTTAAATAAAAAAAATAAAAAATTCATGTTTTTTTTTCTGAGTTCTCTGTGACTTACAATCACGAAATTAATATATGTTATGCTCCTTTGTGTGCTCTATTACCCATAAAAATTGCGTGAAAAAAAAGTTGGTGCAACACAACGAAAAAAAATTATATGTGATTTCTGTCTTATGGTATACCCCTGTATTATAAGGTTTTCACATTACATCATTGTTTTTTTTTTCGAAATTTCACATCAGCTTGTTTTAAAACATAAGTTACTAGTCTTAAGAGATGGGATAATAGTTAAAAAAGAAATGAAAAAAAAAACAGCCAGTGTTCAATACTTATTATTATTACTTTTTCGTGTCTATCAAAATACAAGAAACAAAATATTAATCATCGTCACTGTTGTAATTAATTACAATCGGAACACTTTGAGTCGCAAATAACTTAGTTAGGACCTAAGCATGACGTACGATTTTGGACAAATATCATCCATATGATAGATAATAAATAATAGCTGCTACATGAGAACAGCATCCCACTGTACGTTTGCCATTGGGGCAATCACAGCAATAACGAAGAATACTATTGTAGTCATTACCTTCGGAAATACTTTTATATTTATATGTCTTGATTTTACTTCTGCTTTGATGATATTAGGTGCTGATTTCACATATTGTACTGAGAGATTATTTTGATCGTCCATTATTTCGGCCAAGTTAAATGCTGCACATTTAGAAGTAGAAGCTTTTTTGTTAATATATGGGATAAGTCGACACTTCTTACAAAAAATATCATTAACTATTACGATTTTATTCAAACAGTCACTAAACACTTTAGCTTCTTCTTCATTCTTTATAATTTTTTTTATAACCAGGAATCTTACACAGGTATTTGTTACAATTTTTACACTTTCTCGACATTATTACTTAATAATGATTTGGTTCGATAGTTAATAATTTCAAAATGCTGATACAAAATACCTATGACAGAATTTGAGTTCCAAACTGCCTTCTTGTGTAATACAAATGACTGTTACTTTAGCTAAACAAACGATGCAGTAAACAGCTCGATAACAAGTTCGAACTTGTTTCTTTATACACTCACACTACAAGGCGCGAATCACATATAATTTTTTTTCGTTGTGTTGCACCAATTTTTTTTTCACGCAATTTTTATGGGTGATAGAGCACTCAAAGGAGCATAACATATATTACTTTATATTACTATACGGCGGGGAACTTTATTTCATAATATGTAGTGATATCGCTTAAACTAATTGTGGTGACGCCATAACAAAGGTGGGCTCTTAGGCGGGAAATTATGAAAATTTATTTTATATTAAGATGTAACTTATTATAATCTTGGAATCTGAGCAATTAATGTATGATGTCTTATAAATATAAGACATCATACATAAATAAAATGTAATTTAAATACACATGTCATGTTTTGGTAACACTTTCAAACTTCAAATGTCATATATTTAGTTTAGACTGTTAAATGCACTTATGAAAGTCTAATTAATAAATAACTCAGGAGAAATTATACTGAGAAAAACCTGCAAGAAACTCAGAAATGACGGCTATTCCATTTGTTTTATCCATACGAATTCAAATGAAAAATGACTTCATTAGCATGGTAGGCCGAATCAATAATATAACACTGTACCATGGCGATCCTCTTTTTTTTAGGGTTCTATACTCAAAGACTAAAAACGGGATTGTATTACTAAGATTCAGTTGTCCATATGTTTGTTCGTTTGTCACTAGGATGCCATCTTATGAACCCTTGATAGCAAGATAGTTGATATTTTCACAGGATATGTAATTTTGTTGCCGCTATAAGAAAAATATAATAAAAACAAAATAAATATTTAAGGGGGCTCCCATATATCACATATACATATTTTTATAGATACACATAAACTATACAGATGCCTCATCCTATAGAACAAAATATGACCGTCCTAACTCGGGCTATTTTGTCTTTCTTTAGTGGGCGTCATCGTATGTGTTGCTTGCTCACTCGCGGCAAGCGTAGAATTTGACTTGGCTATTCTATGGATTTCCGCATAAATGTCAATAGATGGTGTTGATTCGTAGCACACCATAAAAGAACGTTAATATAGATAGACATAAAATATACTCTACCTATAACATTTTGTTGTGTCTACTATTAATGTAAGTTTATTGTCTTTATTTTTTTTTAATTGTCAATCAATAGAAAATTAAACGCCAATAAAAAATGATTTAAATAACATAATAATAAAAACGTAGCCGTTTATAACGCCATCTCTGCATAGACATTTAATAATTTAATTTAAGCATACTTTTGCTCTCAAATTGTGACGGTTTGTAATTTTACGAAAACTAGATTAAATAACCCAAAATCAAAAAACTAGATTATTTTTCCCTTTAAGAAATACTGTTTATTCTAGATTTTTCACAAACGTAAAATATTGAATGATATATGTAACGTCATCTACCGTGGTTTTTAATTATAAATATTTTTTACTTAGTAATGAGACCCCGTGAGAATGGTATGGAACTCTTCGTGCGTTATTCTGAGTTGCACTTTGCTAGTTTTTCTTTGTAGATGCAGGTTAAATGCACCTTACGTCTTAAATCAGGGTTCTTCAACCACTAGGACATTCTGTAAAGGGCAAGGGCATAGCGTGGTTTGCCTATTTGATAAAATCTGCTGCGGAAACTCTCGCGTAGGAAGAAAGTATCCAGAATCTCACAGACCACCTCATCCAACCTTTCACCATCAAGATCTTCCTTTGTTAACATTTTCCCTTTACAGGCTTGGCGTGTCACACGTCGTCTTCCACTAGCTGATATATATGTGATGAAGGCAGAAGCGACAACACTTCGTGCTGCTGGTAGCGATCCAAACAACCCCAAAATATTGGCTGTGAACTTACAAAAGGCACAAATGATCTCTATGATTGTTGCTTTGATCAATGCCAGGAGCAATCACTTGGGGTAAGAGATATGCTTGTTTGTACTTTATATACTTTATTTGGTGTTCAAATAATGCATGAAGTATACTATATCTAAAATGAATTACTTCGGGTAGATGCGGCTATTAAGTTTAAGATATTAAAGCATATAAGTATTAACATAGCTGTTACTAGTATTCTAATTTCTTACAGTTTAGTAAGAATTAAATTTTGATGTTAATGTCAGAGTCTGCTTAAAATCTCATAACTTGTTTCAGCAATAATGACGAACTAGAAACAGAAGAGACTTTCAATAACAAAGTATACTTTCTCAGACCCAATTTACCTTACAGGTAAGAAATTTGAAAAGATAATTTTGCAAACATCACGATGTCAATGAGGGAAGTATTTAAAAAAAAGAAAGTTCTAAAAGCACCTCCATTAGATGGCGAATCTAGCAAAAGTTGATTTTTGCAGGAAACGAATGGACCAATGATAGTCGTTTCCGTTCCTTTTAACTAACATATTAAAAAAATGAAATTTGCAAAGTTCGAAACTTAGATATCAAAATAAATACGAAAAAGGACAAATGGAGAAATCAAGAAAGTACCATAGCGACATCTAGTTTGATTTCGAGAACTAACGGTTTTTAAATACTTCTTCATTTATATGCATATTATCTATCACAAAATGGCAAAAATATATAAATTGGTACTAAATATAATGAAAATTATTGAGAAGCATATATTGCTGCTGCTAGCTTTTGTAGGTAAAATTCAAACACATTAAATGTTATTATATTCATGTGTTTAATTGTAAAAATGGTATTTATTCTTTTTATTTTACTTTTTCATTTAACAAAGAGTTCGAATATTTATCGATAGATGGCAATGATAGTAGATATTTCATAAAATTCAAATGATTCTTTATTTCAGATTATATGGGACATTAGTAGGCAACGAAAAAGTGTCAACAGATCAAACGGTGGAGATGATATTACAAAATATAGGTGAAAAATCAAACAATAACTCTCAAGTTTATGTATCGGAATTACTAAAAAGTTATTTTAGAAATCAAAAGGATCTACAGAAAGACATGTTAGGTCATTGTTTATTATTAGCTATGACTTTTATGGATCTATGTTTATATAAGAGAAAAGAGAGTATAGACAAATTGGCAAGACCTGGTGAGTAAACTAATTTCGACTGTTTTTATTGAGAATATAATGAGTAACAGAATAATAGAAATTGATTGATGATTCAAATAGAAAAGGGAGAGAAAAAGAAGGTCGAAGAAGCAATACTTCAGTCATAACAACAAACTGCATTTTGTTAAATTTTATTGGCTGTGTCTAGTTGAAGCGTTGTATTTAAATATCCAGAGTTCTTATCTTTGTTATAGGCCGTATAGTCTAAGATCCGAACCTAAATCGACCTTCACCGGGTTGATAATGGAATAAAACTTATTATATAATTAATTTAGTATATTAGAAAATATATTAAAAATGGGTTGGCTAAAAAAATCCTGGACAGAATATTTTTAAAAAAATATTTTTTTATAAAATGTTGCAACGTCAAGATAATAAGAAAAATTTAATTCTGACTTAAAGTATAAAACATATAGAATGTGCAGACGTTGGGTTGTCTATTATTTACCTGGACGAACTACTGGGTTGTCAGGTATAAACAGGTATATCGATGCCAGTTAATTTCACTTGATTTGATAATAAAAAAAAAATTATATCAACATAAGCGCTGTTTCATTACGAACACATTGATATAGGGTTGTCTGCAAAAAATTAAAAAAAAAGACACAATTAAAATTTTAACGCGTGGAAAAGTGAGTGTCTTGAGTGTGAGTTCTGTCACTCACTTTCCCACGCGTTAAAATTTTAATTTTTAAAATTCGCAAACCCGTATTAGGACCGAATTTTTTGCAGACAACCCTATATCAATGTGTTCGTAATGAAACAGCGCTTATGTTGATATAATTTTTTTTTTATTATCAAATCAAGTGAAATTAACTGGCATCGATATACCTGTTTATACCTGACAACCCAGTAGTTCGTCCAGGTAAATAATAGACAACCCAACGTCTGCACATTCTATATGTTTTATACTTTAAGTCAGAATTAAATTTTTCTTATTATCTTGATGTTGCAACATTTAATAAAAAAATATTTTTTAAAAAATAATTAAAAATATTCTGTGCTGGATTTTTTTAGCCAACCCATTTTTAATATATTTTCTAATATAATAAATTAATTATACAATAAGTTTTATTCCATTATCAACCCGGTGAAGGTCGATTTAGGTTCGGATCTTCTACTAGTAGTTTAAGTAGAACATATTAGTCTGGTTTGTAGTTCTCTATGTCTACCGCTGTGAGGCGCTGTTGCAAGTTTATGCTTATGCAGACATTATATATTAATATTGAATTAAGTTGTGTGAACTTATTAAGATGATATGTGTAATACTTTTTGTTTGATAAACTTTTTAAATATAAATGCTGTCATTTTATTCAAATATCATCCTTTTAATAATACCACGTTAAGGGATATCAAGTTATTTCTATTATTTCGTTATGGTAAAATTGTAGGACTTAAAAAAATATATATATATATAAAAGACGTTAGGGTAAAAAACGAAAGAGTTTTTTTTTTATATTTGCAAAGTGTCTACTTTCTTAAAACGAACTAAGATTTGATTCCCTGCAAACCTGTAGGTATAGTGTGATGTGACAAAAAATTTAGTTTTTCGTAATTTTTCCTTTAAATGTGCTATAAAACATTTCTTCTTGCCAAATTTCTAGATTCTAGGTTTAATTTGGTATAAATTTCAGCTTGATACCTCTACGCGTTCCTGAGAAAAAGGGTCTTGACAGACGGACGAACAAAAAGGTGATTCCGTTTACGAATTCAATTGGCTATCGTAGATTTTTCGAGATAGTTTACTGGTTGACTTGAAATTAGAATAAAATTTAAACTTTTTAAACCATTCGTAACCGTTCGCCATATCCATGACGTCATATTGACATCATGTGCACAAAATAGACTCATTGAGTATTTTAATTTTAACAGATTTAAAGATGTCAATCAGAAAACAGTGCCATTTAACGATTTTACTACAACATAGAAAGATGTAAAAAAAGTTAAGAACAACGCCATCTGGGGATCTGGTCTAAATTAAATATCGAGCTAGTTTAGAAATAATTTGACAGATGTAGATTGCATAAATGCTCTCTCTGCCGATACCATTGGCCGATACGACTTCACCTTCACACCCTGGCGTGTCGTGTTTCAGGTCACGTGTTGATCATAGATTTTAAATGGATGGTTGTGATAAACAGGCAATAAAACCAGTGGCGTAGCTAGGTAACCTAAGGCCCTGGGGCAAATAAAAAAAGGGGCCCACTGCTATCAAAACTGGTAAGGTTTTTTGAAGTAAAATCATTAAATATACAAATACTTTAAAAATGCTAAGCCACTTTATCGACAGCTCTTTTTCGTGCATGGGCCCAGGTCATAAAACTATTAAACACTAACAACATAAATTACAATTATTTTTTTACTTTATGTAGGTATTGGGCAATAAAACGAAATAGAAAAGATTCAAGGGTTTATTATATATGTATTTATTCATAGATACGTTGCACCAGCTTACTGTTATTTAATCCCATGTGACTTGTATTTTTCACGGTATTTTGAGTTATATAGTGAGTAGCCGAAATCTATAGATTTCTTTACGTAACCATGTAGTATTATTGATAATCAAATAAAATTGAACTTTTGTATGGACCAGTACAAAAAATGTATTGACTTACTCCTGATACATTAACTTTTTAACCATTCTCGAAAAAAAATCTTGACCCGAAAGTACACAATCGCGAATCACAAAAACGCATATCGATAAATAATAATATGCTGATATTGATATCAACTTGAGTTGCCATGATTAAACAAGAGTTGTCACCTGTCATAATTTATTTTGAAAATGGGAGAAATTTTCAAAAGTAGAGTTCGATTGAGATTTTCTGGCAAAGATTCGAGGGCCCCCTGAGCTTGAGGGCCCCGGGGCACTGCCCCGCCTAGCCCCTTGGTAGCTACGCCACTGAATAAAACTATCATCATCATCAGCTCTTTCACGTCTCCACAGCAAGGCTCAGGCCTCTTCATGAATTATTTAAAAATTATACAATTTTATATTTATCAATATCAGAATAATGTTATTTTAATGGCATTTTTATTGACTTTCGTTACTTATTTATCATTACCGAAACTTGAAATAGGGGTGAAGATAATTTTTTATATTTTATTGTATATGTTAAGTCATTGTCCTTGATTTGTTTACCGGCGTAAATACAAAAATACTTATTGACATGTACTGGCCCGCTCTACTTGAGTTTCTTGCTATGGGAAAAGCCTGCGGCTCATTAGCAATGGGCTAATTAATAGGCCGATGATGATGAAAGTTATCCATAAGAGTGAAACAAACCAAATCCAAATATATCTCTCAAAGAGAAAAAATTGATCTTGAATAGGTACTTAGAATCTACATGAAATAAAACTGTCTATATTGCTTCAGTTGGACTAAAAAGTGTTTATTTGATAAAATACAACGAGCTTACTTTTTACAACATTTTACTTCTATTAAATGACAAAAAACAAACAAAACCATTTTAATACAATAATAATATACATAAATACGATGGTATCAACTTCAAACTTATTTAACGTTACTAACATAAATGCAAAAAACTAGGCAAGAACATTACAGATCCATTAAAATAATAATCTAACTTTATATATTTAAAAAATAATAGTATAATATAATCTTAATTAAAAGAAAAAAAAATCGTCAAAGATATCTTTAAAGTTACATCGAGAAAGCCTAAATATAAAATTCTTTTAGATCACACATACAGTTTTGATCTTACCAAAGTCGAATTTTGTTTTAATACTGATATTCATTTTGGAAGAACTATAGAAAGTATATATTTACAAAATTTTGTTATTACAATTTTCCCGTTTTAAAATGCCAACGTGTTAATTTTTTTCGCCTGGATCTTTGTGACCATTTCGCAACCAACTGTTCTTTTCCATTTAGATAAGAAAAAAATGTCTATGGTAAATCAAAATAATAACTCTTGTTATATTGTTGTGTGTAAAAAGTACGATCTTGTATTCTGGGATTGCCTAAAATCAATATTTTTATATCTATCCGGTGTTTCTGTAGGCATGTATGAAAATATAGCTCTATTGTACAGTAAGATGCAACTGATGTGGCTTACTATGTGCCTGCGCAGAAAGATAAATTTCGAAGCGTGGCAAATGTCGGCCAATCAGAATCATTCCAGTATAAGCCATCGTGCGATCCACCAATATCCACGCGCCCGAACCTTGCTGAGTATGACACGGACACATTGTTTTTTGCACCTTATGTTTATTGAAACAAGACTAACTATACAATTAAGTCGTTTCGGTCATCGTGGAATTGGAAGGTCTGTTCTGCGCAAACGAAGATTCACCATGCGCCACATAAGTTGAAACTTACTTGTAACATGTGGACTGGCGTTGATGACTATTTGATATTATTAGGCCACGTTTATGATAAAATTATTTACTATGGCAACTTCTATAATTACTATGAAATAATTCGTATAAACCGAACATATCCTACCTATATATTAATTGGAAGACGGTAATTATTGGAAAATTAAGTAGGCAAAGCTCCAAAAACTATCTCGAAATAAATGGAAGACGAAAATATCCCCTAAAAATAATCAATACGTCAAATTGACACCAACGCCAGATGATAACTCTGTAGAAACCTAACAACAGTGTAAAAATTACCAGTCTATTGTTTTATTATAATAAGTATGTACAATTAATGATATAAGAGCACCCATTTGTTTAAACAAAACGATTAAGTCCAAGTACCGGGTCGCCTAACGCACTTTTAAATAAATATATTTAATAATGTATTATATAATAATAATATCACTGCTTCATTGTATAATTAGTAGATAATGTAAAATCTGTATAATCTATTGTACTATGTATACGGAAAATGTCACAAATAAATTTATTGTAGCAAAAATAAGCAAGGTAGGCGACCGGTCTAGGGGTGCGTTCACATTGAACGAACGACGATTTCGTATATAACATTTGGTTATACGAGCTATAACCGCCAACGTGAACGCACGTATCTGACAAAACGTTGCGTCCAATAAAATCTGTGAAAAACTCAATCCAGACTACAAGATCATTTAATCTAATATGTTTATCTTTTATAAAAAATTCAACAACACTTATTTTTATTGTGGAACTGCATTTAACAAGTATCTATTGTGTA